TGGGCTGGTATGGATCTTTTTTTTTTTTTTTAAGTCAGCAGCTACAGTACTTGCAGCTGCAGACGTTTGTTTTTGGATAGCCAGGTGAAGTTCTCCTTTAACTTCTACCTTAGTTTGACTCAAGTGCAGTTTGCCAAAATCTTCTGGTTTTTGCCAATACTTCAGGGAAATTAAAACTCAGTTTTGCTTGTTCCAAGTGCACTGGGGATAAATGGAATAATTTAGGGCCAATTAGCACCAGCAACTGTGCTACAATGCATTGCTGTTGATCAGCACAATGTACCATCAGCTATAGAGGAATACAAATCCCAGCAATACGTTATAGAGTACCATGTGTGGGAAAGTGCAGGCTTATCTGAGCAGTCTTCCAAGAACTTGCGTCTGAGATCGGGCCTGTCTGTGGGCGGCTGTCATCCCCCCACGCCTGCTCCTCCTTACTTCTTCTTCTCCCCACGTCCCTGTGCATCGTGGGTGTGGGCAGGCGGCGAGCGTGAGGCAGGGAGGAGGTGTGGCGTGTGGAACGTGGATGCGGGCGGGTGGGGCTGGCAGCGGCAAGTGTGAAGCGGTGAGGAGGTGCAGCGTGTGTGGAGCCGTGAACAGGGCCAACTAATTGAAAGCCGATAAATCGATGATTGAAAATGTTGACAACTTTTTCAATCATCGATTATAATCGACTTAGTCGATTAGTTGTTGCAGCCCTATGGTGAATCCAGCCTAATATGGCAGCACTACATAAATGTTGGGAATCAATGTTACTTCTATAACAATGCTCATTGCTGTTTTCTGATTCCCTGCCACAATTTTCTAGGAGAACTGCATAGTTTGTGTGAGCAGCTTCCTATTTGTTGCAGACATCATATTATAAATCATCATTGGAAGTGTAGTTTGGCTGTCTGTGTGATGTAATAGGAACAAATCAAATTCTGTTGTGTTTGTTGTATTGCAGAACCTCGCAAGTTGATGACTTGCTGTCTCCTTATCACCCCCTTTCTAAGCATGGCCCAAGCCGCAGCCATCGTGAGACCAGAGACTGTTTGCGTGTCACTCATGGAAACAAAACACATGAAACATGGCCGAGTAATAATGACACAACATGGCCCGCGGCCTCCACTAGGATTTATATCTCAATGTTTCCTGGTACTCCTCAAAAGGCTGTTTATGGCCACTTTACCTTCATAAATAACCCACTGAAGACTGTATCTGTGCTAGAGCCTGGTAGTCCTGGAGGATGTGCTAGTAATTTGACAGCAACTGTCGAAGAAACGGCAAAACATGGAAAGTGCCTCGTGGCCCAAAATGGAGGATATTTTAATACTACAACTTTTCAGTGCCTTGGAAACGTTGTCAGCAATGGCAGATTGGTACAGAGCTCCAAAGGAATACAAAATGCCCAGTTTGGCATTAGAGAAGATGGTACCATGGTGTTTGGGTAAGAAATTTCCTAATCGATGTATACAAGTTTTTATGCTTTTATTGGTGTTCTTTTTTTTTATCACCGTGTATCAATGAGAATAATTTAATGACCTGGAAAAGTCTGAAATTAAATTCCGGGCACGGAGTGACCGAAGACGCTGACTGGATGAATATAGGTCTATCCGATCTCTAACATGGGATCTTCTTTTTCTAAAAAGCAAAGATCTCGGTTAGATTTAGATCTTTCAGTTTTTCCCCATAAGAAAATGAATGTCAACAGGTGTCATTGTATGAATTGCAATGCGTATTAAAGTCAAAAGGGTTTTAAGCTAGTTCAAATTCGGATCAAATGCCTTTCAATGGATGCTGCTCCGTGGTCTGTAAAAGTTTTACCTTGTAGAATCATCTGGTCCCCTGAACACTGGCCCTGACATCCTATTTTAGGGTGTTCGCTTTCCCTTGCAGGCCCCTTTAGAACCGCCCTTGTGTGTGCTCCAGAAGCATGTGTGTGTCCATATACCCTGTAGGATTCCTTACCGGATAACCCAAAGTGATAACGGGTGCTCGAAATGGCCGCGGATGGCGGCTCTTGTCATCTCTGAGCCTGATGGAAGGGGACTCTGCACAGCCCCGAAAGCACTGGACATTTGAGTGACATCTGTCAATAAAATGGATTTGCACTGACTTGGAAAATGTCGCGCTTGTGTGCTGATGACATTTTTATTCAAAGTAAGATGTGTGTGTCACCACAAACACACAGGCACAGCAAGGCAAATTGCTCCCTGTTCCCCGCCTCTCCTGGCTAGTACCGTACCGTAGATGGACGGCTGCTGGAGACTGGGCTCTTGTACTGGACAGGAAGTTCAGGGAAGTGGAGCTGTTTGGAAACATGAGGACTATAAGTGCTTGGGTGGTGAAATTTAAGGACATACTTTGCTGAGCAATGTATATGTGTTTTGATCTGGATTCATCAGTGAAAAAACATTGAGAGTTGAATACTACTTTAAGGGCTCATTGACATATATGCATGGTAGTAATGCATGTGTGTATTGCGGTGTGCTGCATGTAAACAAAATGGTACATGTCTCTTTTTGGATGCTTTGTGGGGCTCTGGCAACCCATTCCAAATAAATTCCAGGCCGGGTTGATGTCCATATCAGCTTTTTTATAGGCTTAGACTAGTCCCTCAATAGATTTAGGTCCCCCCTATACTTACCTTCTCCAAAAACTAGCCCTCCATGCTGCCTGCAGCTCGGCTGGTAAAATGTTAGTGTGTGAGCAGCTTGCCACTAACGTCCCTCAGACTTGAATGGGAAGTTGCTAACGCAATATGGGTACGTTCAATTTAAGTCTAAAAGATGTTAGGGCAACAAACTGTCCTGAGGTGTGGGGGGGGAAGGGTTGGGCTAAATTTTTGAAAAAGCTGAACCGGTACTGTAAAGCAGAACTCCAGGCAGAATTTTTCTAACACCGCACTGCAAGGGTTACGTGCTTGTTTTCGTCTGGGTGCTTAAAAAAAGGTTATACTAACCCGAGCCGGCTTGCTCTTAGACTGGTCCCGGCAGCCTCTCTCTGCCTCCGCTGCATCGGTCCAAGGTCCCATAAATCATCACATTGCATACAGTCTTCTATATAGACATGAGGACACTGAGAAACATACCAGTGCTGCAGCATAGGAGGAGAGAATTTCAGTAACCAGAGACACCTAGACAAAAACAAGCACTTAGCCATTGCAGTGTGGGGGTAGCCCCGCTGCAAGGGTTAAGAACACTTTTGCTTGGAGTTTTTCTTAAAATGCACATTTAAAGTACATACTGTATATGTATTTCTGGCACACTGCACAGCCTGGCAGGTCCCGCTAACATTTTCTGGTTCAGCTTTCTCTGATACATTACCACCTTCAGCCCTCATCCATGTTACCGCACACATGGAAGTGATTGGTTCACATTACAGCCGCCTAAAATCCTTTGCCAAAAAAGCTAACAGTCTACTTTTGGAATGTAAACAAGTTCCCCGAATGCAGAAGCACTGGGAGGCTGTTTCTAGGTTCCTGCTGCTGACATAGTTCTTATGTCTGTGGCAACATTAGGGTTTGCTGAAATGTACTGAGGGAAGTATGACAGTCCCCATTGTTAACTTGCCTGGCTGTCACTGTCTTTATTATTTTTAGAGCCCCTGGTCTAAAACGGGCACAGAATATGAAAAGTCCGAGCTAGGCCTTGTTCACACCAAATGCAGAGCAGATCCGGTCAGGTTTCTGCACACGCACGCTAGTCTTTTAGATGCGTTTTTGACTAAAAAAATTTTTTTTTTAAAGTTTAAAATGGGCTTTCAGTGCGTTTCAGGCATTTGCATGCGTTTCTGATGCATTTTGATGCGTTTGCAGATCCAGAGCAGGTAAAATAGGGCCTGCTGCAGTTTTTTCACCTGCTCTGGAACTGCACGCTGCGATGTGAACTGGAGCAAAAAATACCATTGGAATACATTGGACGCAGTTTTGATCCGGTCTGCACTTGGTGTGAACAAGGCCTTAAGCCAGCTCTGGATTCACATGCTTGTGCCAAATGAGTCACTGGGGAAAGTACCGAGACTGTTGGATCAGCATATCAGACGGGCAGGTAGCATTTTCCAAAGAAGATGGCAGCCTACATAATGGTCTTAGTACAGGTTTCCTTTAAATGTAAAACAAAATGACAAGCAATAAGATATAAGATATTCATGTGATGGGAGTTACTGGAGAACAGATATGTTTTTATAGTGTATA